ACATACTTGGGTGCCGATCGATAATGCATTAATTAGTATTCCCGTTCGTAGAACAGTGAGAAACCATTGGTGTTAATTATTGGAAATTTGTAGAACACTTATTTCTGGGTAACGTTTAACCACGTTCTAACAATATTTAACGAGAAAATATTAACCACTGAAACGGAATGTTCCCTACTATGCACATTTAGCTACGTGAAATCTTTGCAATATGTAATTCAATAAAATTCAGACTGCTCGCTGTTTCTGAACAAGCTATGCATTGCTTAAATTTCATTTGAATAACAACGAATATGATGAAGAAAATGAATTCGAAATTTACTGATTATTGCCCCATAAAACCATAAGGTATTCCATTAGAGTTCTAAGATTCTATGTTTATATATAATTATGCATATGCACTTCCGCCCAGGAGTCATAAAATACCTACTAAACTTTCATGGACTTAAGGAAAATGGTTGGAATTAAAAGAAAACAGTACTCTCACATATGTTATACAATTAATTATGCGTATAATAAATATGCGGAGTAATTTATTACAGATCTTATCAAAATCATTAGTGATAATTAAAGTCTCCTTTCATTAACATATCTGCAGTGTATCTTAAAGGGTTGAGCCACCATGAAGGCTTTAGAAAGATTCTCTTAAGAAATATACAAATTACAGAATATATTTTTAAGAAAACTTTTATCAGCAACTTTCAATTTAAACATGTAAAAAAGGAATAAAACGACAGTGCAGAAGCTTGCATAGCAGAGCCCTGGGTGCAAGTTTCAAAAATTGCAACTGTGATTTGAAATAAAAAATCTAAGTCCATGTAATTTTAAAATAGAAAATTTAACTTTCATATGTTAGAACTGTATATCTATGGTATGTGTATTAGGAAAGTCATATCCGTGACATCATGCGAAATCAAAAGCATGCTACATAATTTCAATATAAAGGGGAAAGTCACCAGCCCGAATATGTCACAAGTACACCCGTGTAACGTCCATAAAAGTGGCCGAACGCTATTTCATTTCCGGTTAACTCGTCACTCGATTCCTTTCATTACAATCGAATTGCTGCTATGAATATAAAAAAGAAAGAGATTGTACCCTGGCACTTTCATATTTTTCCAAAGAATTTAATTATTATCGCGCACAAAGAACACTGCATTAAATATGTTAATTAACGCTTAATTATATTAATCCCTTCAGTCATAACTCTTAAGAGATTCACAAATACAAATATCACGTTCAAAAAGTAAAACTGATTTAAATTGACTGATTGATTTAAAATATAAAATCAAAATCAAAATAAATTTTTCAGTGAATGAAATGTCAAGGAAGAATTTAGCAATTCCATAGAAAACATTTGCATATGATTTCTTCAAACTTTCTAATCAAACGACGATCGATGTCTCAATCCTTGCCTAAGCGTGCCTATCGCCAGTTATTTTGCAATTTTATGAAATTAAGGAACCTTTGGCATGCAACGCGCGATCACGGTCCTGCCTTTGGTTCGTACAAAATTACCTAACGATAAAACTAATTAATGCAAAAATTTCTTCAGATTAATTTGCGCAGAACAACCTGGGATACCTAGTAATTTAAATTGATACAGCCCAAGTGCCATTTTATTATATTGCATAGAATAGATGGGAATCGAGAAAATAAGAAGAAAAAAAAGAAATACTGGATATTAGAGCAACGTACGTGTAATATCACGTGCTTGGTCGTCCGTGAAATCGAGTATCCGAAATTTTCCGCAGGAAGTCATCTAGGAACGTCCACGCCGCGGCGTTGGACATTCTGTGCAGATGCTTCTTCGAGTAGCTGACTAAGCGGTTCGAAACGATCGCTGGGTCATTCGTTTTTGATTCTACAGAGCTTACTCGTTGTGTCAAGTGGTCATCCTCCTGGCAGTTAGATACTTTAAAGAAGGCAAGAAAAACTTTATAACCCTTCTCTTCATCGTACCAAGCCATTTAATTTTCAAAGCAGAGATTAAAAAGATAATCCGGTCTTAATAAGAGTTTTTGTGATTTACCTCATTAAAAATACTTGAAATTACGATTAATATGTATAATAATATATTATTAAAAAGAAAATAGATAAGATTTGTTAAAAATAAAAATTTTCAATATTTTCAGCTATCGCATAGTTTGATAAGCAAACAGAAAAAGATTGAATAATTTTTCAATGGTATTCCAAGAATGTCTTAGCATTTTGTCTACCGGTGGTACGCAGCCTTTATTTTGCCGTGGTGCACGCGTGCTGAGCGCAGCTTGCACGCATGCATATTGCAAGGCTGACTCGCCTGGTGTCATGCACGCAGAAGACGTGCTGGCATTTGGCATTGCGCCGCATATTATCCAAGGATGCACGAAATGCCTTGCCATTTGCACACGGGACACGCTCGTTCGACGTTGTTGTTGTACCATTGCTGGTTCCACGTCGCGGCTACACGCTTGAAAAGGGCTTGTTACGCGACAAGCACGAATCCTTTTGTTTCTCTCCCACCAGATGAGACAAATAGCGCGTTTTTCGAATAACACTGTTATTTTCTACAAAATTCCCCGAAACTCTCGAGCACCGGCTGGAATATCCAAACTGCCGTCTAACTGTTCTGTCTCTCGTTTCGACGTTGCGGTTTTCGTTTTACCGTCTTGTTTAAACAGAAACTGTTTCGTGTTAACCGGCAAAACGATACTTTTCGTGGCGAGCAGGAAATATTTTAGAAAGCAACATTACTGATTCGCGATTAAATTGAATATTTCCACACGAATTCAATTATTTACAAATTTTTTTTTAAGTAGACTCGTATTGGGTCATATAATGATAGGGTAGGATTGGGAAACATCTGGTAATGCCGGGTAATGTTCGGGTAGTGTCGCATCAAGTTCGAGTCTCAACTTGACCCCGAGCCATTACGAACTCTATTATGAGAAATAATTGATTCTATTTAGAGCACTATTAACCTATTCCTATTATCAATTACCGCCGCGACACCGAAAGCTTAATCACGTTATAAATCGGAGCAAATCCATGCCTATAGAAACGGGTAGTCTTGTTCTTAAACCGATCAATCATTGAACGACGTAACAATGAACACCTACTATGCATCTTCGAGGATCAATGCGCATACACACGCTGTATTCATGAACCGGCATTAACCGTTAAAACGCGATCCATGAAATTGATTTCAGCAGTGAAATGAAAGGCCGGTTGTTCCGTGGAATATTGTCAACGTTATTCGATGTACAGGGTTATCCAAAATCAGTGGCGCGATTATTTCAGATTTTTAAAGCGTTTGTGATGCGACAGGGTCATTCTGACCCCTAAAAATATTATTATAATTGTATACCAAATATGTACGTTTAAATGAACATATACACATAAAAATAGTATACATGCGAATATACGATGTAGACTGGGTTAAAATGACCCTCTATTCAGCGTGCAGGAGTTCAAGGACGAAATATGAAAATGAATTATTTTTAATTTATTCCTTGAAATTTGCTTACTCACCGCGTAGATCCCTCTTAGAAGTACGAATCCAGACGTTAATAACTTGGATCTAAGAAGCTTACCTAAAACAAGATAGAAACAATACACTGAACGCTACTAATCCCCAAGAACATTTACAAGTAATTACTAACATGAAGTAGGTACATGTATTCCAGCTAGATCGAGCAGCTGCAAGGTACTTATGTATATACTTCAGAACTAATTATTTCACTATGGTATTACAGAGACTATGACTCTTCAATAATTTATCATACGAAGAGCAGTGACTTGTTTATTTTCATTAAATAGATCCTATTCTACATAATTATTAAAAAAAGAAAAATTGCTTATCCACTTTGTATAAATAAACAATGATCAAGTGTTTCATTATCTCTTTTTAGCCAACATTCTTGAATTTTTTCTATTTTAATTTATATCTCCTAGAATCAACGGATCTGTTACATCTACAATCCCACAATTCCTAAAAATTCTGACCAGCGTATCCTTCACCTTTACACTTTCACATACAAGCTTTAAATTTATTCCTTAGATAGGAGGAAAAAATTTAAATCAGTGTCCCTCGTGTCTAGGGAGACGTTACGACGAACAAGAAATTAAATGTTCCATCGAGAATGGCACCTTGCCATCAGGAGAAATAATATGAAAAATTTCCATTGTATTTCCATTCATTAATATGGATGAGAATGGGATGGTAATGTTTAACCAGTAGCGACAGCCTGATAGACGAATTAACGATGCGTTGGAACAAAACGTATCATCTGCATGCTGATTAGGGTCAGACATCTGCGACCCACGACCTTCCTACCGAAACGTACGTATTAAGTACCTTTGAAACTTCGTTCAGTTTTTCCCACACTGCCATTTCAGTTTTTCATGTGATAATAAATTATTAGTAATGGAAAATTTAATTAGTGTCAAAAACCTATAATTACTACTTTTGCTATTATCTTTTTGTAAACAAGTACACTTTGTAGAGAAATTGAAAAAAAATCGATGTCATTACTTTTCTGACAGATCATCTAATCCTCCAAGAAACTAACTTAACTCTTTGAGTCATCAGTAAAGAGAGAAGTGTACGGTATCTGGTGCAAAGGGTCGTGCGAAACGGGTCGAAAAAAGGGAAACGATGTCTGTAAACTCTGGCAAGATAACGTTCCATAGCTTTTAACCCCTGCTTTCTATCGGTGTGCCACGAACCCGAAATCCTACCGGACATAACGGTACCGGTGAACCCTCGACGTAGATAATTAATTGATGGCAATAAAGCGTTGCTACGATTCTATGTTCCATTCGACGTACTTGTACCTGGTGCTCATTAGACAAATACGAATAAATGCCTACCTACTTGCGAAACGTTCGTCTGGTGTATTACAAAAGATCAAACGTACGGCGTTCATTTGTTGCAGATACCGTTGCCAGGAAACGCCGGAAGACAAATCATGGAAACATTAGAGAAATGTGTCACGGAATTACACACGCGTTAAACAGTATTTCTGTATACATCGGCCCTGAAATATGAGTATTGAAACGGTACTCTGAGGATCTTGACCCTATCCTTCGCGTATGATACCAAGGAAGAAACGTATAATAAAATGTGTATGCTGAATTTTTTTGGTAAACAATAATTCTGCACAGCATTTACGTAATATTAATTAAATGACGTAAGATCGAAATACTAATGAAAGCCATACAACGTGTATTCACTCGTCAATAGTTTCCGTAATTAGAAATGACGTACATTCGAATGATATCAGCAAGGTGGGTGAAAAATTTCCTAAGGACTTTCGTCGCTGTCATTTCCAGATGACAGAAAGTTACGTAGAGCGCGGATATTAATTTTCCTGGCAATCGTTGGGGAAGATTTCGAAGAAGAATAGCAGCCTAGAAGCTGGTAAGTTAATTAGTTCGCGTGTACTTAATAGCCTTGCCGATCCTTTTGTCGTGAAAATAATAGATTCCCTATAATGTTGCTAAACGTGAATTCACGTTTCTAATTAAATCTTTGGAGGTTTTGGTACAAAATTATACATCATTAAATTAAATTGTAAAGAAATTAGTAAAACAGGTTCCTATTATAAATTATCTTCACCACCTCAACGTATGATACCTATTTTTGAGACAACATTTGTTCACTTAATTTTCTCCACTCAACTCTATAATATATAATCCAGCAGAATTACAACGGAGTTCCAGAGGATACGAAATGCATTATTTCCAAGGTTGGAATATCCATCGCAATAAATAATTCAGACGAAACGGGAGCTGCGGCCAACAGAACGGCAAAGGCATGAAAATCTCGAGGGGCAAAAGGAAGAGGAAGCTTCCAGCGACATTTTCCTCCGTTTCCCTACCCTTTCTCGCTTTTCACCTCGAAGGGCCGGCTTGGTAAAGAGGCGAGACCTGTAACAAGCACAAAACAGCCGGAACGGGCCGAGTGGGTCTCCGGGAGCATTCGTTCAAAAGGAAGCACATTTATTTCAGCAACGGTGCCTGCATCTTGTAATAGGCTAGCCTATTGTGCCTCGCCTGAATAATGCAGCCAGCCTTCCCTATAGGTAGCTGCATTCTATATTTTTCTCTACCAAACGCGACTGTTTGACAACGTCCTTGAGAATATGCTGTCAGGGAAGCTATTGCCACAGGAATTACGAAATTAATAATTTACGTGTTTCACACGATAGGTCGATTGCTTAAATTTTCATTTGCAGAAAAATATTTTCGTTTCACTTTTCATTCTTTGCGAGCCCTGGGGGGCTGTAACCCTCCTTAGATCCCTCTTTAATCCGGCACTGAAGTAACCCCTTTTCTTTATATACAATTTTTCTGAGACACTCCATCATTCATCTTGCGGACTGCGAATTATCTACACAGAGCAACGGGAATATCCGATAGACACATCTGCCTCTTTCACCTACTCAATAAACAGATAAAAGGTAGGAAATGGAGGTCAAATCACGGGAAGAGAGGATAAAAATGTATATAGAAGGGAAATCTGCGAAGCGAGCGTAGAATATAGCAGATACACATAGAAATCTTCGACTCGATAATATCGCGGTTAGTGGAACGATCACGGGAGAAAGTTACCTTCTCATTTCCCGTCCCGTCCCTTATTGACCCATTCCTTTCCTACCCGCTAAGAAATTTCCGTTCTCGTCGCCGCGTGTCCTCCTTTTACGATTCACACCGCTTTGAAACGCTCCGATTCCACCTTAATTCGAGTCATTTTAACTGCTAGCTGAGACACAGCTATTACAATCTTTCGGTTCCTCCTATTTTTTTTTTTGTTTTTCTAACGAATGCCTATAGCAAGCTGATACATAACGATTGTAAAGGAAACTATATGTAGTTATCGAGAAGATTATTTTCAGTTACAACGTGATTGGGAAACGTGCCGTGGAAGTACTCTTAAGGGAGCAACGTGTTTTAAGACTTAATTGCGCGCACGTCCTATCCCCTTCCGAACTTCGCTACGATGTAATCTAAATTGAACAAGGTCTCGACGGATCGATAAGACATTGTCTTTGCAAGAAAGCAAGGAGGCGAAACACGAACGAGTGGAAAACTGAAATTATCTTAACAAGTGCTATCAAGATTCGATGGGGAGGATTTATCTAAATTGTACTACTTAAGACATTTTATTATTTGGCACACCAATTTGTTCGTAAATTAGTATTGGATTTTGTAACAGCGTGTAATTTTTGAAAAATAATATATTTCTGAGAAAATCATATCCTGGAATCCGGAGAGGAAGATAGAAGAGCGGAGCAGAGGTTGCATCACCATGAATCTTCGCGAGGTCCTAATTGGAAAAGTCCACGGTGAGATATCGAATCGAATGATCGAGATTTCCGAGCACGTAGCGCGTTTGTTTCCATGGGGAAAAATTATCCTTCCGTCGGTGAACGTGGTGTCTCGACGCAGGTGTCTACGCCACGTGCCGCGATTCGTATTCAGCGTCGCGAAAAAAGGAAAAAAGAAAAAGAAAAAGAGGAAAAAAGGAACAATGCGTCGGCTTTCACTCTCCCTCCGTTTTGCATTCGCCTCCTCTGCTACCGCTTTTTCTATGCTCGACGAGAAATCGGAATCCAATCCCGCCGGGATGAGTTTTCTTTCACAAACGGAAAGCGTCGCGAAAAATAAAGCATCTTACAAATAACTTTGACTTCTGATGCTCTTCTTTCTTACTACCATCGCGTTACGCTTCGATCGTTCCTTCTCGATGAACAGAATTATGATTTTCAGATTGACTAGTTATTTCCTTCTTCCTTTTCCGTTTCAAATTAGAGAAAGTATTTATTGGTGCGGCTTGGAACTGGAATTGACTTTGTTCTACTTAGAGATTTCTGCTGTGTTAGCGGTAAATTCATAGAAGAATCGAGAGAAGATCTATAGGGGGTACCATTAATAATTTAATCATACAAATCACCTAAACCCTTCAAACGATGAAGCACTAAATCTTATTACCATTGCTATCATCAATGTCAATTGCACGAACACATAAACGTTTAAACTTTAGCGACTGTAAAGCTAGAAGTTAGTACGAGCAACTGAAAATGACCCAACCAATTTCGGAAAGTTGGGGCCAAGTTGGCTGACACTAAAGAGGTCAAGTAATCGGTTGAAACACGGAAAAGCATTGCCAGCACGCTTTCGCATCGATACCGAGCAAAGAGAATGGAAAGTTTTTGCCGAGCTGCTCTACATCGCACACTCCTTCCTCCTCTTTCCGCTAGACATTAGCCTAAACGAACAAGCCAGACAAGATAACCTCGACGTTTTTGCCTCAAAGTTTCTTCTAGCAGGTTCGCTTCTCGTACACCTCTTTTTTACCTTGTTACACATTCAACCTGCCTTTTATCATAACTCCCCCACTGGCTTTTGTGTAATGGAATTACTTGCACGAAAATTAGAGATTAAATATTTACATACAGTACTGAACGTTCGAGCTGTTCTCTACAGGATTAATTTAAGGAGAAAAAGTACTATAAAGGTAGTTAAAATTCAATTTTTATGTGCTCTGTACAGTCGCATGCATAGATGCTCTTCCGTAGTTAAGAGAAAGCGTAGAAGGCCCCCCACCACGCGCCCCACTCGGCACTACTCGGCTCGCGTCGGTGCTTTAGCCACGCCTCTTCCCTTCCTTTTTATGGAGCGTAGAAGGTCCCCCACCACGCGCTCCACTCGGCACTACTCGGCTCGCGTCGGTGCTTTAGCCACGCCTCTTCCCTTCCTTTTTACGGAGGAAAGCCATCTATGCACGCAACTGTACGTATACAGCTTTTTCCTCACGAATATCTTGGAGGCAATAAATATTGATATTGGCAAACTGTTATTTGTACCAAACATGAAACACAAGCAATTAATTTTTTTTTAAACGCAAATGGACTTCATAAATATCTTGGAGGCAATAAATATCGATATTGGCAAAATGTTGCCCCAATATTCAAACATGAAAACCACCAATGTTGTAGATTTTTCTTTTTCATTTTGAAAAATGGATTTAAAACAGGTCAGCCGGGAAGAGGCATTGCCTTAAAATAATTCCAATTCAGCAATGGGTAGCAGAATATCGACTTGAACCGTGGTGCAGACTTATTGTCAGGAGCAATGCTGTGCAACGATTGAGAATTTCGAGAGCGATTTGCTAGCATCTCGGCAACCGCAGACAATCTGGACGATTGTCAAAGATCGCCGTGGAGAAATTCGAGCAACCGTGCCGGAAGAATCGAAGCTGAAACGCTGGCAACGCGGGGGAAAGAAATCGAAGAGACGTTTTCGGGGGAGCGTATAAGCGAAATGTAAGCGAAAATACAGGAGGAAGAGAAAGCTGGGAAAGAATGACTTCTGTGGCGACGTTCGAGTGACGGGCTGCGTCCAAAGTTTTCGCGGAATAATGGCACCCCGCGAGCGGAAACGAGCGTTCTAGTACGCGTTCCAACAAGCGGAAAGATTTCGAGAACAGTTTGTGACAAACAAGCGGCTTCGCGTGAGAATGCAGACGATGGAAACGAGGGAATAGAACAAATCTGACTAGTTTTAATAAATCATTCAAGTGTAAATTAATGGAGTCCATCGAATATTAATGAAACTTTTCTCTCACAAGGAAACTTTAAAAAACATATATACAGTAGCAAATAAATTAGATTTAAAACAAAGAATGAGAAAAAGAGAAATATTCAATCAAAAAATATATATATTAACACGTTGCATACGAATGACGAGATATTTCATTCCTGCATTATGTTACGGGAATTATTGATTCGGGTCACGAAAAACGAAGATACGCTCGTAAAAAAGGAACGGGTGGAGAGAAACACAAAGCTATCGATGAGATACACGTTAGCCTCGTAAAACGCGACGCGAAATTACCGATAAATTTTTAGGAAAGGCATGCAATCGGAAATCTATCGTGATTGATAACACCGCTCCCATTTGTTATCTCGATTTTGTCAGCTGCTGAGAAAAAAAAAAAGCTCTGTCGCGTTACTTTTCGGAGGATGTCCGAACGATTTATAAAAGCGATACATCAGCCGCATATTTGACAGAAAAAGCCTCGTGCAGTGCTAAACTCGATGGCGAGACTTTCGAAAAAAAAAAAAAAGTCAAAATTTATTGATATAACTATTCTCTTTTCCTAGTGTTTCTGTGAATCATGTGTTAGATAAAAGGTTCTGAAATGTCATATATAGGGTGTTTAAATCGATCATCTCAATTAATTTCACAACTATTAAAAAGTGATAGATACAAAATATCTATATTCATCTAATAATTTTATTTTATAAAATTATGGTGTCTTAAGAAGAAAGTTAATACTAATTAGAAAGCTAATAGTAATACGATATAGACAACTCTCTTCCACCTTCTAATCACAACTAATCTTATTTCTTTTCTCTATAAACAGTATAATTTGAAACATCTCAAATACGGCTTTGAAGTCATATGACGCCAAGTAATTAAGCAGCTAGGAATAAAACTAGGAAAGATCGTAAGACAGGAAATTAGTACTTAAACAAAGAAAGTACTTTGGGTGGCATGGGTCAGGTGTTCGTAGAAAGCGAACCATGTACTTGGAACTGGAGAACGAGAATGAGAACGTGAACTATTACGGCCACAACCGACAGACACGCTTTCGATGACCCGAATCGTTTCCGTGACTGCTCCAAAAAGTTGAAACAATTCTTTCAACTTTTCTGATCAGTGCCTTTAAAGGTAATAATTGGTAAAAATTTAAATTACTAAACACGCAACTAATTCAAACGAACAAGAACCCTAATAATTTTAAACAACAGTGCGCGAAGTTCCTTCGCTTGTTTTCTTCCTCGTCAATTTTCTACCCGGAAGCGAGCGTACACTTTCGAAACGTCGTTCGATTTCGCATCTGCGGCGAGAAGAGAAAAATAAAAAAATAAAAGAGTGCAAGAAGGAGGATGTTAACGGGGTCGGAGGAAAGCAGCGAAACGAATTCGTAACGCGTCCGATCGCGATTCACCGCTCGTACATGCTCGCTGAATAGTACCATACACGCCGAATAACGAATGAATCATATAAGCTGCTGCCACGAAACACCATGTGTATACACACAGCCGGAGCAAGAACCACGGTTCACTTTCTCCTTTCAGACTCGTCCTCAATTACACTCAGCCCAGACCGAGGCCCCTGTAATTACACGACTGAGCTGGCACTGGCCAACCTAGTGAATCGCGTATAATTTCATTTCTTTTCCTTTTTTTTTTCTTTTTTTCTCTCCTCGGGGAGACTCGATGACACGCGAGACCGTGTTTTCTTTCTCCCGGCAATACTGAAAGCAGGATTTTCTTATTTATTTGTGAACAGAGCGTTTCTCTGCTTTCTATTTATCCCACTCTGAACACCGAGACATTCTATTAACCCTTTTGCACTTCAAAATACTATCTAGCAATAATATGGAGAGAGTGCCAATTTTCATTTAGTACACTCCCCTATTCGAGGTTTCAACATTTTTTCTTTCTTTTTCAAAATAAATACTCGGATATCTCTACTCTTCCTAATTGGAGAATTGGAGAATTTTAATTGAAATCTCAAATGAAATTTCCAGATACAATTCATGTGGAAAAGAAATGGCAAGGAAATGGAAGTCAGTGCCCTTCCAGTCGAGCGTTCATCGCTCGTTTTGATCCAAGATGCAAAGAACAACCCTGGTCGTAAAAGAAAGACAAGTGGAGGAAGGTGGAGGACGACGATGACGAGGGAATATCCTGTGGAAGAGGAGGAAATGATTGGCACAATACCGTGGTGGTGAACAGTAAAAGTCGGAGAACAATGGATAAACGGAATGGTACAGCCAAGACCTTTCAGGCAATCGGGCAACTGGCAAAAATCTTGGAATACAATGGATAGAAGAGTACGCCTTCCCTTCTGGCCCTCTTTACAATTCCCCTACTCTTTAACAATGTAACCACCCGTACATCTAACGCGCCTGCGTCCAGGCACACCCACTTGACCCCGAAGTTAAAAGAAATTAAATTATGTAGGCTCTAATGTGCTCTCCAAGACACTAAACGGTCTCGGCTAGCCCGGCCTACTTGTCCGAACCCCCATCGACGCTGGCAATCCTTTTTTACGACCTTTAACCCCTTCGTCTTTTGTAAGCTGGTCACGAATCGATTGTCCAAACTTGATAAATTATTTCTTCATCGCTCATTTCAACTTTTGAAGTACGTACGTACAGGGTGATAGGGGGAAATGGGTGGCGAAAATTTGGGATTCTATTCCTGGGAATGGAAGGGCACGCCTAGGGTTGATTTCTACTTTCGATTTTAAATTAAGGAATTGTATATTATTATAAGTTTGATTGGGTGATCACTAAGTGCCTTCCTTGACTTTCTATTTTAAATTAAGGAATTGTATATTATTATGAGTTTGATTGGGTGGTCACTAAGTGTCTTAAATTTCATTTTTTTAATTACTGAGATATCGAAGCGACTGATAAATGGACTTTTAGTCAAACTAGAAATAGTGGGACGGAAATAGTTTAGATTCGTATACATCAAGATTTTGAAGAAAGTAGGGAGAAAGTATACGCGTCCTGCCATCTAGCAGCGGGTTCTTCAAACATAACGCTCAATATCGATCGACGATAACTTTATCATGTTATCGTTTCTGGCAGTTATGATAAGCCAGTAACACACAGATAAACTGACGTGTTTCAAAAGAAATTTTAACATCAAACTGTTGTACTTACCTTGTAAGTTGTCCAGCATATAAGACAGCAGCTTGTGGGTTCCAGATGGTTCTCCATACAATGCCATAACTTCTTTGCTGAGTGGATTTCCCTGAAGTCCAAGCACTTGTAACTGGAATAACTTTCCTAGTTCATATGGTAACACACGGAGGTAATTTTGGTTCAACAATAATTCTCTGAAACAAGAATAATAACTTATTAATCGTTACATTATCTGATGATGTTTATATAAAAATATGAGATATATATATAAGACATACCTAAGGTAGATGAGGTCTCCCAGTTCAGCTGGTAAACTACGTAATTTATTGCTACTGAGATCTAAAGCACGTAAGTTGACTAAACGACCAATCTCAGATGGTATCCTTTGCAAACTGTTATCATTGAGATACAAGGCTGTCAAATGCGTCAACTGCCATAAATTTGGGCTTAAATTTCTTATACTGCCTGTTATCTCCAACTCCGGCCAATAAGATTTCTTCCCAGAGTTTGCATCCTCTGTGGACATGAAAGTATGAGCACGACGAGGGAGTATGGGTAGGACTTGGTTGGAGTTTTCATATTTGTCCTTATGATTGCGGGACATCTTAAATCCTAGAAAAAATAAACATATGTTAGAATAAAATATGCTTTACTTTGAACCATCAATAATAAAAATAAAGATTTAAATACATATGTATAGAATATAACAATTTGTAAACTTAACCTACATTACAAAAAATCATTTAAACTAGCATTAAAGATAAGCAATTCAAAAAACTCACTTTAAGTTAATGAAAACTTAATATAAAATTAAAAAGTAAATAACCTTCTTTAACATTTTTTTATGTTTTTTACGTTGTTATAAGAACAATAAATTACTTGAGTAAAAGTCTAGAGAATTATGTATCTAAGTTACACTGTACAGACACTATGTTAAAATAAAAAAAATATGTTTTTATGTTAAATAAATTGTAAAATATTTCACGTTTATAGTTAAGAACATAATACTGTTAAAAAGTAAATTATTTTGATATGCAAAGTTTAGTAATTCTATGAAAGTAAACTTATAACCTATGAAGTAAAAATGTACATTACTGAATTGCTTAAGATTCGAAAGTTAACCTTATTACTTCTCATGAACGTACTGGTCGAAAAACATGTGAGAGATGTTAATACAATTTTTAAACAATACTCCGGAATGTAATTTATTTTTTTAACGAGAACGATCTTGCATCTCTACACAGTTCATATGTTCCGCACAAATCTCATGTTAGAAAACATTTTTCTTCGTCCGGATAATTTTCCTACCTTTCAAACAGAATACGAAACCCGAAGGAAACTGTTACGCACCTTCATCTACCTCTTAGCACACACAAAACACACGATGAGTTGATACTGAATGAAAATTTACGCGTAAACAAAACTACCTTGACAAACACAATTCCTCCATTTATCAACTGCACTGATCGCAAACTATAAATGATTCTGATTGGTCGCGTTACTGCCGAATCTTCCCGAAGCAGCCGACGCAAGTAAATGATCGCCTCCTAGCAAGATTATTCCGAAATAGGGAATATTTAGGGATTTTCGATGATACTTTACTTGTCACATGAAGTATTATCCGCTTTTCTTAACAAAAGCTGCTACTTTCATTCTTTTTAACAACATTGGTTAGAAATAATGCTATACTATTTTTATACAAAATAGTTGTTTGAGTACAATAGAAATAAGTAGTAATATTGAGGCATGTAGTGTGAGTAGCATTCTCCTACTAGCTGGATAATTTTCGCTTTATTTCTAGTTTCATTACTTAAATGTTACTAGATCAATTTGTACGTGGGCACATGTGTTTTTCTTAAGAATGTACGATTTCCTTGTTGAGGAGCATTGATATTTCTGTTTTATATGTATCCGTCGTACAGATTTGAAGACGTACTATTATTTAATATAAAGTATTAATACGTTCCGGACATATATAAAATAAGAATGGATCATAATCTATTTCGGGGTGAGATTATTCTCCGATATAAACCTCGGTCTTGCGTAACAATATCAAACAATGTATTCTGAATAAATCGATTTAAACATTGCAGATTATTGTAAAGCTGAAAACAGCGACGACGAAGAAGCAAATTTTGATCTGCAATCTCGATTGTATGCTGAAATTTATTATGGTCCAAAGGATATAGAAAGTATGGATGTAAAACCAGTCATTAAATCCGAAACCGTTAGTACCGATAATGAAGCGTTACAAAGAAAAGAAAGTATTATTACAACACCCAATCCCAGTGACAATACGAAAAAGGACAACTATGATACAAATCACAGACATTCAGAGAATAGTTCAACAATAATTGATAATAAATCAAATATTAAAGCTATTGTTACTCCAAGTCAAACTGAACCAGTGTATGGTGGCACAGGCAGCCAAAATAATTTAAGTATATCTTCTATAAAAACATTAGAGCATTCTATAGGAAATATTGGGTCTATAAAAAATGATGCAGATTCAATGATGTGTCATAATGTGAAGAATGCAAAAACTAGTTTAGACCATCAGAATGTAAAAACAGAAAGAAATGTTGCAGAACCAGAAGTAGAAACAGAAAGCAAAGAACAATTATCCTTGAAGCTTTTAAATCCTAAAACACCTGTCCAATCTTCTTGCAATGAAGAAAAGAAAGAAGTAACGTGCACTGAAAGAAATTCAAATGAAAATAGTGACAATATTTTAACAAAATATGAATTTGCAAAATTGATCATTAATAAACTCTATCTTAGAAAATATGTAGATTTAGAGGAAAGGTTACAAGAAATAGAAAAGGAAAAAGAAATGGAAAAGGAGAAAGATAAGGAAAGAGAAAAAGAAGAGTGCTTAAAACAAGCAGAACTTAAAGAAAGAGAGGAAGCAGAACTTAAAGAAAGGGAGGAAGCAGAACTTAAAGAAAGAGAGGAAGCAAAACTTAAAGAAAGTGAAGAAAAAAGAAAACAGCAACAAACTAGGAACAGTACCAATGTTGTAGATGAAGCAGATACAGACAGCAGATATAAAGTACAGACTAAAAATGAAAAACCCCAAAAAACACCTGATTGTTGTGAAGAAATCGTTTTATTGTCAGAAACAGATAGTAATTCTGAAGATTCCATTTTAGAAGTACCTATTCCACCAAAACCTCTACCCCCTGTTATAAATTTAAATGACTCTGATGAAAGTTCTGAATCATCAAGTGATAGTGATAGTAATGTTGACCCATTTATTGTAGAACATAAAAATGATACATCAAAGATTACAGATGATAAGCATAAAAGTGACAAATCTTCAGTTATAAATACAGTGACTGAAGACATAATGTTAAATTGCACAGAAGTTCAAAAATGTGCTTCAAGTATAGAAGAAATAAGAGAAGCAAGTAAAAGTGTTCAGTCACAGCCGATCTCTAATGAAACTCAATTAGGTATATTATATTACCCTTTCAGCGACGACGAAAACACGCAAGACATTCATTTACCATCGATATCTACTGCCAATAGTAATGTTGTGTATGAAAGAGATAAAAATGAATCGATCAATTTTGCGGAAGATGTACCTTTATCGAATTTCGTTAATGTATCACCTAAGGAATCAACTTCAAATAAGAGAAGGCGCGATGAAACTGATAATGAAACTGGTAATAATGCGGAACAAAATGAAAACACAGGTAACGAAAGTAAGCGTACTAAACTAAGCCCCAAGAAACCTCCTAATAACGATAAAAATAAAAAGCAAACATGGGAAGAATATTTCTTCGCTCCCCTGTCTGACAATCTTAAAGCCTTTTATAACGAATCTCGTGGGCAAGAGAATTTCGATATCAGAGAAATACAAAATAAAATGTCAAGTAAGTCGGTAAAAATTATATTATACTTTGATTATTAATTTTTTTTTATATTAAATATTTTAAATAAACTGTAGGAGACCCAAGACTTTGGACTATTTTAGATGAAGACCTGATACCTGACCTTGCGAGACAACAAAGATATTGGAATTCAAAATGTAATTACTGTCAGTTTGAAGGACATAAACGACGTAACTGTCCAGAACTCACTAAACCTCCGCGATGTCATATGTGCGGTAGTGAAGGACACACAGAATCTCGATGCCCTGAAAAAATGTGCCTCACGGTTCGAATATGTTTGGTAAAAAATATATTACATTATAATTCTGATATAATATGTTCATTCTTTACAGTGCGGTAAAAAGCAAGGAACATTTAGAAAAACTTGTGAGTCTTGTCGCACATTATATTGCAATATGTGTAATGCTGTAGGACACAAATCAACAGAATGTCCTGATCTCTGGAGAAGATTTCATCAGACTGTAAGTTTGTTAGTAATTTTGTTTTATTAATATAAACAATTGAAATGACAATTTATATTGTTATTTTTCAGACACAAAACTGTGAGATAGAGATCCCAGAAAGTATATCCGACGTTATGAAACCCCCTGATTTACTCTACTGTTGTAATTGTACAAAACGCGGTCATGATTCTTCGACCTGCAACGAATATAGATGGTCGCAGCATTTTCCAACACCGGCGTATGTATCGAATTATGTAGATGGACCGAAATGTGAAAATGCTCCACCTGCTGTAAGCAGTAAGAGTGAAGATGTCATACCGCTGGCAGCCAAAACTAAGAAACATAAGTACATGTCATTTCTTCAAGGTCAAGAAAACCTTGATGGTTGTTTTGTTGTGTATTCGTATGGAGCTTTCTATATAAAAGAACCAAAGGGCGAAGAGGTTAAGAGAAATCTTGTGGGCGATCAAATTCATGCTTCTCAGTTGACAAATTTCTTAAAGGGCCGTATTGTTCCAGCATTTTTGGACCAATTAAAAAAAATAATTAAATTTGAAATTAAAATATATTACGATTCACAAAGGTCGCTAATGATAAGGATTCGATCTATGGTTAATGTTGCTCCAAATCTTTGTGACATCTTTGTGTTTTGGCTTAAACTTTCTGATGAAGATAAACATCTGATGATATATACAGATTTTCCGTATAGTAAAAGGAAGATGGCGAACTTCTTAAAAACAAAATTGAATGCATTAAGAAAAGATTTAGACCATCCCGAGAGTCTTCATCAGCAAATAAAACAACTTAAAGAAGAGATACCTAATGTACGGGATCCTAGAGAAAGGGTTTCAATGTCGAAACAACTAATGTCTCTTCAGGAAAAATTTACGAGAGCGTTTCATGCGATGCCTAAGCAGAGTGCAGAGGTAAAGAGATTGAGAAAATGTATTAAATATTTAAATACTAGTACACAGCATCAGGTTGAAATGTCGCTGTATTTTAATATTATGTACGTTTATAATAAAATATTTCTACCACGTACATTAACGAACGCTGAATTAACTCGTTTTCTTAAAAAATATCAAAGATCAGTAAACACACAAATCAGACATAATCAAAAGTACATGGAAAAAAAAAATGAAGAATGTAAAAAGCAGAAGAAACAAAAACCTAACCCTTATGAATCATTTGTACAAAAAATAACAAATGCCAATGAATCGAAAGGTAAAACAAATACATGCAATATTACCGATACTCCACCAAAACCTAGCGCTTATCAAACATTTGTACAAGAAATAAGAAATTACAATGAATTGAAAAGTAAAACAAACGCATGCAATATTAATGATGCTGCACAATCAACAAAATCGTCTGAGAAACATAATAAACAAACTTCTACTGTTATTTCTACTACTGTTGAACATCCTGTGGTGACTAATACTGTTCAATATGACAACGTTACAGAGGGTAGTATAGGGAACACTCGCGTGGAAAATTTTAATATGGAAGCTAATATTAACGAATCTAGTACAGTTTATCCTATAGAAAGAATATCGTTACCACGTGACCATCTACGGAGAAAAGATAGCGAAGTGATAGATACTGTAAAGAACTACAGTACTGCACCATCTTCGAAGCCTAGACCTATGGTAACAAGATCCATGTCAAAAGATACGGCTGTTCGACCTAATTTAATAACTATACCGATTGAAAACACAGGGAGTCTTATGAAGCACTCAAAGAAAAAACATTCTGAAATAGAACCACCACAAAATAGTGGCGAAAAATCATCAGAACAAACAAGCGACAGTAGCAAAGTAATGGATACATCTTATTCAGAACAAGATGATGCAGCTAATTCTGATGCAAATGCTACAAAAAAGAAAAAATCGAAAAAATCGAAAAAAGCAAAAACAGACCTTGATGATAGTTTGCAAGTTACAGAAGATCAAGCGACAGATTCTGATGGAAATATGGTGAATAAAGCTCAAACAGTTATAGACGAAGCTCTTGCATTTAGTTTGCCGCATATGAATAAAGCTGCGGAAGAAGTTCAGAAAAGGATAAGTAACAACAATCTTAAGCAAGAGCACATTAATGTGTTACAAAGACTAATAAACTTAGAGAAAGAACACCAACAATATGTGAGTTCTTTTTGTAATTATTTACAGTGAACGTTAAAGCTTTTATTATATTCTAATTTCAAATGTAATACCGAATTATTAAAGCTTTTAATATTTTCAACCTATTCTGATTTTCTCTGCTGTTCCTATACATATTTAGAATAAAAATAAGCAGTAAATTTCGGACAAAATTATATACATAATGAGATGAATGCATGTTACATCATTCGCCTAATTAGAAAACTTTTTAATTCTAAAACTTCAAGCATTACAGGGAGACGCCAAATCATGTGTTTTGTAACAATACACAACTATGATGTGATAGTTATGTTTGCATTTAAGTTATATCAGTACTGTTACATCCTAAGTTCATATATTATAGGTTGTAAGATAGAAATAAGCATACAATGTATGCAATATTGTATAATATGCTTCACAAATGAATTAAAATTTAATCATTATTGATATTCAACATTTACTCTTTACTACAATGATTAATTTCTGTTAAACATAACTACAAAAATTGAAAGAGCATTTTATTGGAAATATAAAATTTTATAATACACAAATTCTCTTTATGTGTATTTTTTTGTAAATAAAACAGGTTTTTTGAAAGCAAAATTATACATTTAGTTTTTATTTCTTACCCTATATGTATATATTTATATTACAATACTAGATCATTTATCTAAATAAAATTAGCATCACACTTAGTCTTCTGTGAATTTGGGATTCTTATTTCTCTAACTTAAAAACTAATATTCTAAGAATATTTTGAATCATGAGGCAAAATTTGTATTTATATTCATATATACATATCATTAGGCTTGTGCTTAAATATACAAAATTAATGAAATACTTATTATTGAAATATGTATTAATATAATTGAAATAATTAGAATAATACATATATTTCCAACATTATTTTTTCATCGGCGGAGGTCCTCCCATAGGTGGTGGTGGTCCATTCATTGGAGGTCTCATTGGTCCCATAGGTCCCATTGGACCCATCATTGGTCCCATTGGCCCCATAGGACCCATCATAGGTGGCCTCATGCCCATCATTGGTGGCATTGGTCCATGTGGTCCCATCATCATTGGACCTCCTGGGCCCATTGGACCACCAGGATGCATACCTGGTGGTGGCATCATACCTGGTGGACCTTGAGGTGGAACTCCAGGTCGAGGACCAAGATTTGGAGGTGGTGGAATTGCTGCTCCCTTGTTTGCCGCAAACGGATTAGACGCAATCTTCCCCGCTTTGAATGCTGCCGTTGTTGCATCAATTAAATGTTGCGCTTGCTCTTCCATCCATTTTTGATAAAAATATTTAACATTGTCCTTGTGTTTACGACCCTGGCAGTGCGTTTTCCGTACACTCGGTGAATCGTGCGTTAAATACGTATCACAATAGTCACAGTAATATTTTGGCATCGTTACTAATAAAAATGTCTTAGAGTATGCCCCTTTTAGTACAATATATTGTACAATTTCTTGTAAATATACCGATTCGTTGCTATCCGACAGTAACTAACTACAGGTTATGTATGTGTACACACATTTCGTTCCGTTGACCCATCAGTGGTCTAGATAGCTAAACTTTGTATAGAAATTAAACAGATAGCATCAAACTGCCATCTGGTGAATAAGCTAAGTTTTTCACTAGCACGATACTCTTCTATCGCCCGCTTTTCAGTTTATGGTCATATACACAGGGTGCAAAAATACAGGGTATTCGACAACAGGTGGGCAAAATTTTAAGGGGTGATTCTAGGGATGAAAATAAGACGAAAATCAAGAATAACGAAATAGCGTTTGCGGCTTTGTTTCCCAGTAATTAACGTTTAAAGATTCGAGTAAAAAGCGCCTGAAACCTGCAATCCGCCCAGCACCGACGACTGAACGTCAGGTCGAAAGGGGAAGGTACAGTCATACTTTTTACTCGAATTTCTCATTTTTTTACTAATAATTTTTATTCCACTCGTTTAATAAAAACTCATTACGATTATCCAATAATAGTTCCTAATAAATCTTTATGGGTTCCTGATATTTTATCCTAATCATAATATCGACATACGTATTTTAGTCTTTATTAGAAGTCTTTATTTAGTTTTTATTTAAAAGTGTTTATTGAAAGCTCTGAAATTATTAAAGAAATTATGACTGCGACAACATTTCAAAATTGAATCCCTTAGAGACATTCCGACGACAGTTTACTGGCACTGCTGTTGAATTCTTAAAATCAGCAGCGAGAGTTTTCCGAGATTCGAACTTACTGGGGCAATTTGTCGGTGGCCTCTGCTTGGCACCTTAAAAACTCGTACCGCAGTCCTCAAGGATTGCCGAATCACTGCAGCAAACGTCATCACTCTTGTCTCTCTGTATGTTACCTACAACGTTCTCCTCAAATGCCATATTTTTCTATCTCAATGTTAATCTTAATATTTTTCGAAATTCTTTAATTTATATCTTTTTAATAAATAATGACCGCCCTATCAGCAAATTAAAATATCATCGGAATTTTGTTACGTTACATCGTGTTTCAATTTAACGTTATCTCACATATTTCGGTGTAAATAGTTAGTGAATTACCTCGATAGTCTGGTATCAGTGTAGCCGAAGAAAATGTAGCGTGATATGAAGTAAATTATCAGGGGATCGAGAGAACCTTTACAAGTTAGCGTACCACTCACAAGGGAATCTGCTGATAAATTGAACGAAACAGGCGATTGAAACGTTTCCCTGCAGCCTTTGGGAATCAGATACACGTTGGTACGAGAAAAAGTTGAGTAGTATTACACTTTCTCATGAATAACAAATCCGTGCGTCGGAACTCGGCTGATCCCACAACGGGAACATTAAGATTTCAATGTTGTCAACTTTCTTTCGAAATTCTCAACCCCTCATATTTTTCAATTTACAACCTTACGCTTCTATGCAATAATTTTCAATAACTGAAATTTACATTTTTCTGTATTAATAATTCAAAATATTTTAAGAAAATTAGTAATTTTTCTAGATTCTAGATGACAGAAATAACATATGTTCAATATTTTCTAATCGGTGGATTAATAGACTGGTTGGTCAGAATAATAGAGTAAATTATAAATTGTAATTCTCCAAATTCTCAGAATGCATTTGGGAAATTCTATGCATAGAGGTCAGCAATGACAAAATTGTTGCGACCACTTTGGAGGTAATTTCATTAGCATAGCACGTTCTTGGTATCATTGCCGAGGAAGCTCAGTAAAAAAATTATAATCACTTTTTAATACAAAGTTCTTCGACATTAGGATTATATGTAAAAGGGATATTCAATGAAAAATGGTTATAGTTATTTCCGGTGACTAGGGAGTTGAAGTGCAGTTTCAAACAGACATAAGCGATAGGAATTAAGTTTCCCTATGGTTTGGACAGTTGCGAATCAATAGAATGATCTCACACGTTCATTTCCAAGTTGAATCGTAAAGCGTACTGTCGATATTGCTGATCCAAGAAGATTATTGGTAACTTGCCAAGTCTTTCCTTCAGTATGGCGGTTCACATCAAACCCAGCACCTTTATCAGTCCTTCTTATTCACCCAACCGTTTCGCACACAATGTATAATACACACAATGGTATCAGAAAAAAAAGTACCTTGTAAACGTCTGTTAACCTTTTCAATACAATGAAAATCATTGTATTATAGAACATTGAGAGAAAAATAAAATATACTATTATAGATATCATAAGATATCATGAAATCAACAATCGACAAATATGAATTTTATATAAAAAACGTTAACGAAATGATTATAAATTAATTATCACGAAACTTCCTGTGTCCAAAGTGCTTTTGCGCTGTCAAACGACGCGAGACTCTTCGTGTTTCGAAATCGACCGTTTGATATGCAACAACATAATAGTTTTGAAATGAGGGTAAACTTGTTATGTGTCAATTTCAAAATTATCATACAACGTGTTGGTAAATCGATGGACGGAGAGAAATAAGCGACGTAGCAGGGATAGTTCAGGAAGCGATGGAAAAGTGAGGAGAGAAAATAGCAAGGAAGGGTCGTTCCAATTCAGCGCAGCTCATTTATCATTGAACCTCGAATGCCAATCTCCTTCTCGCTGAATCGGGAAATAGAGAGAAAAAGAAAGGGGAGAAAAAGGGAGGAAAAAGAATGGTAAAGCGTAAAATGAAGAGTAGGGTAGAGAGACTTGGAAAAGTTCGACCGAATTATTTGTTAAGTATTAAAGTTCTTTTAATTCATCCGACGGCTATTGTGCTTCGGAACTGCAGGAATGGAGCGAGGCCTGGAAATCGACAACTTCGAATTCGTAAATCAATCCGAGGCCCTTAATTGGCTTCGAACAATTAGAGTTTATTTCGTTTCGGCCGTCATTTGTGCAACAGCTAATAATAGAATTAATTTCTTCGTAACCTACTTCCTCCGCTTTACTCTGAAATGCTGCACCGTTAATTACCCCCTCAAGACCAATCTAGAAACTGATTTTATATGATTTTATTTACAAAATAATTGTGATTATAATTACTTCATCATAGGGTGCACTGGACAAACGGTGGTGGAATTAAGGGAAGGTCTATGGGTGGGGGGACTACAGTCCCGGCCTCCATTGTAACCAGGTATTGTTCCTCTATTGTTGTACATTATTGGTAATTTAACATTATTAGATAGCAAACATTTCAAATTTTATAATTGTCCATACTGTGTAAGCTGCGAAGAAATTTATACACCTTGCTCCGAGATTAATCCAACTACACATAAACCTTCTAATTTACATGACAAGAGAAGTATACACATTTTTTTTTAGCGCCGTGAAGGGGTTAAATCCTCTGAGGTACGAGGCCTTTCGTGGGCGGAGCGTCGACACCTTTTTTCGAGTTCGCACCTTGCCGACTACTGTACCAATGCTTCGCGTCGCGTCGCGTGCATACGTAAAGGGATCGCGTTTATGCGCGCGCATGATTGGTCCAGATTCGAAGCCCGTCTCTCTCGCTCTAGCCCCCCTTCCACTAATTCTTCGTGCTTTCCTGTCACGCTTGCACGACTCTTGCGGCGGTGTGCGTGCCCAGTGGCGCCGCCGTCTGGGCGAAATCCTTGAGCCCTCGAGTCGGTACCCCCCTCGGTTGTTCAGTCGCGGGTGCAGTGCGTGCGAGTGTGCAGTGTTTTCGGGAGCTCCTTCGAGACCGGCGTGGCCTGAAGCGCGCGGGGTTAGGTCAGTGTCAACTCGTCTGCCGTCACGGACATTCGCGTACCTTTCAACGTTTACCTTCGTTCGAATATGTGATCCCCGTTGTACAGGATACCTGGCAATCGAGCAATTCAGAACGCTTCCGGTGAGTAACATTTTTGAATGCATTCCTATTTAACCGAGTACGTCGTTTAACACGTTCGCTGCTACCTTCAAAGCATCGTCTACATAGAATGCGATGTCCTCTGTGTCACCCGTCGATTGTGCTTCGACGTTGCTCGTAGGAATTAGTATACAATGGCACGCATCGTGTCCTTTTCTGAGTAATAGCGAACGTGTAAACTTGTTGACATAGGACAGGGAGGAAAGTTTACATTGCGAATCGAATCGCGAAGCGCGCCATAACTCGGCACGCAGCGGTGGCGCTCGATACGGTTGAAAGAAAATTAAAAAGTGTCCGACCGGATGAAGACGGTATAATCGTAACTTAGCGTGGCGTTGTTGAATGTTACTTTGACCCTCGTCCGAGGGAGGGCGAGGCGTGACAGGCGGGAAAGAAGGTCGACATCTTTGAGATCCGCGGATTATTCGAAATAAAATATCATTGACCCAGTTAGCGGTGCAAAAGTAATTAGACATTCGCGGGGTTGGTGACTAGAAGGGAGCGTAGATGAGAGCGGTGTTGATCGATCCTTCGTCGTTGCCGAGCGCATGTACGCGATCCATCGTAAATTCGCGTTTCCACTTGTGTATCGGTGCGTGCGGTGACATCGGCTTGAAATACGGCACGCGGGCCGCCCATCGGCGAGTTAGCGTGCCAGCAAGAGCAGGAAATTCAGTCTCGCTAGGGTAATTCAAATCCCTACCCGTGGAAGAGATGCAAACGAATAGTCCGATTCTCTCGTTAACCGAACCAAACTACTTTTATATCAGAATTCGGATAAAGGGTATCCTGCCACTTTGAAAGATAGCCTTTATCCGATTCGAGCAGTGCCGGCTTCAAACAGAGACAATTGCATTTACGGTATTACACTCTCTAGTTGTAAGAGTATCGATCATTTGATTAACCGTTGTACACGGGAAACCCTGGGTCATCGTGACCCAGTGTGTTTTGTAGAGTTGTGAGAGAACTCGAGAGAGAACTGGGATCGGGTCGGGCACCCGATACTCGAATCGTTATCCTATATAATTTGATCCGATAAAATTAGTATGTAACCCGTTTGTTTGTTAATGTTTATCGGTAATTATAAATGGAAATTTGGCGATTAGTCTCGTTAGCGAACATTTACCACTCGATCACGATAATAAAGTCTTCTGTTCCCGCGGCTGCTAAACCCGTGGCGCAATTTGCGAGTCGAAAACGTACGAGTTGCCAGCTTGATATCCAAGTGGAAAATCCATTGAGATAATCCTAATCCCAGCACCGATGAGTGCTTCACCTGGACTGTGTTCAGGCTACCTGCATAACGATCGCTGAAAATCGGATTAAACGCTGTCAGATATAGGCTTGAATTTACATGCAGCGGTTATCTCGTTGAATTGCAGCCGACTTTCCTCTAATGGCCTTTCGCGAGATACGCGAATCAATCAGTCGCTCGTCGACTCGCATTCCACCACTTCGTTGTCCATTAATGGCAACCCTTGCATCTCTTGTTTGCTACTTTGCCGGATAAATTAACCATGCCAAGCGTTCCATCGGAATTCTTCGCCTAATTTTTCGAGATCAATCGGTGTCGATTGTGGCTTCCTTTGACAAGGAGTAATTCATTTTCAGTTTAGTAACATTTGAAAATTTTTTAAATAGAAAAATTATGAAATAAAATCATGAAATGATTGATCTGAAAAAAATAGATCCAATAGGTTTGTTAGCAGAAATTTTAGTACACACGGCAAATGGAAGTCTTGAAACTTAAAGTAATCCAGGCGACTGTATTAATAGCTTTTTAATGCCATGGAAAATATGATTACGAACAACTCTCTTAATATACATTAACGTCGGGCCGATGTGCGATAAATGAAGTTATTTAAATTAAATTTTAGAGCGCGCTAGGCATCCAATTTTCCGCCTTTCAACGATACCTAGACGAAGACGCGTTTTGTCTTTTCTCCCGAGCTCCGTCGTTGTCTGCTGCTTAATCCATATAAGTCATCCACTCAGCACATTATTAAAGTTCATTATTCGACACCATATTTCATCGTGTTCCGGGATTATTAATTGATTACAATGAAGTATGAAGGCAATATAACGTTATAGGAAATTTTCTAATTTAAATTAACAATAATCGCTAATTTTTTATAATCACAAAAATAATAATAAATGAAGGGGAGACCCAAAATTTAATATTACGTAATATTTTTACCTCGATATTCTCACCCTCTGTTGAATTTGTTTCGCGAACGAAAAATAAATTATTTATTTTACGCTCTCGACTTGCATGTACGTCAAATTGTCGCAAAATGTTCGTGGAATGTCTTGCTTCGAGATCTGAGAATGTCGTACAATCGATGCGGTTCCAGTACTATTTGAAAGATGAAATTCATGCATTTCGAGGATACTTCGTTGCATTCCGCGGAGAGACTGATCGTAGGTCAATCATAGCACAGCGAATCTGGAATTGTGACAATTCCCATAATTGGTGGAACATTGTGTCCTTAACCCAATTCATATTTCTGATTAGCAAGTTGTAGTTAACAAGCTGTTACATATAGCGTCGAAATTTATTTTTATTTTTAAATTTCTATTAATGACAATTTGTAATTTCAAGATTTTTCAAAATTATCGTTGCAAATTGATATTTATATCAAAATAAATAAGAAACATTTTTTAGAACATTTAAAACAAAAAAATGAACCTCAATAGTAGATATTTTGTTTATAACAAAAACCTTCTAAATTAAGTCACTATTAAGATAAAAAGTATTAAAAATAATATATAAAAAATATTGGACGATCATATGCCCTTTAGAAAGGAGTACAAATTGATGTAGTCATTACCGTTGATATAGATTACTGGTGCAAGTAGTACAAGTCAATGCATCGCAAGACAAATGTAGTATTCGCTTAGTGATTCTCAATGAAAAAAATGAATAGAAAGAGGAGAACAAATTCCTTCTCATACTAATGAATTTTTTGCTACGGGCCAGTGATTCTCAACCTTTTGAAACATAAAAATTATATTTTTAATTATATGTTTTTCTATAATTAGGGTACGCCAAACCCTAGCTCACCAACTAAGGGTAAACACCGCTATTTAAATTAACAAATGTTCCATTTTCTGTGCTTGACAGATTCGTGGTTCACGGTTAGTGCGGTCGAGCGAGGGTTCGTGGGTGTCGGTTGTGTTGTTCATAGTGGAGGAATCAGAGGATCATGATGCCCCCGATCATAGGGGAAACGCTACGAGTATGGTTTCTCTCGGCGTTGGTGGTTCACGGAGCTGTCGCCGGGAATCCGGACGCGAAACGCCTTTACGACGACCTCCTCTCAAACTACAACAAACTGGTGCGACCCGTTGTGAACACCTCGGACGTGCTACGCGTCTGCATTAAGCTGAAGCTCTCGCAGCTCATCGACGTGGTGAGTAATAAAGCGATAAGATTTATACCTGTAACCTGACAAGTCCTCCGATGTCTAAGTACGTCCATTATCTAGGAGGAATAATCGATACGCGATGTCACATTGATTATCGTATATTCCTAGTAATCTAAACAATAAATAAGACAGCAATCGACGCGTACGAAAATTTCATTGGATAGGCATAAAAATTCTGTGGAAATTGAAATTCGTGTTCTTCGCTGTTCGCGCATTCATAAACTGATTAACAATAAAGCGGAGTCAGGATATTGGGGGGAAACGCGGAAAGTTTCCTATTCCGCCCGTGGAGAAATTGGTAAGTCGCGGTGAAGTTTCGCGGCTTTGTATTTCAAGTTTTCCGCAAGTTTCCACGGCTTGTATTAACAGGCTAAGACAATACATGATTCATATGAACACACTGGTAATATTGAGACTTTGAGTATTTTTGGAAAATGGAATAAAAATGATTAGATTTTAATACTTCACGTCGTTCGAAGTGTGTCGTTCATTGAAAAGATGAATGGACTTTACTCTTTAAGTCAAAGGGGCTACAAAGTTTCGTTGTTAAGAACACTGCAGAGGCAGCAGCCCTGTCAGGTTCAGAGATACTTCAGAGAGCACGCGAATCTACATATCTATGTAGGTATTTATGACGGCGACATAGGTACTGCTCTATTCTAAGGATGATCTATCATAAACAGTGCACTTTACGTGCGACCCTTGCGATATACATAGTCAAAAGCATCAGACCTATTCTATTCTGTCTGTTGAATTTGATTCATACCTTTTATTTCAAATGAAAATGATGAATGGACTTTAGTTCGATGGATAAAATGAATTTGTATTGGATTTTTAAAGTTATATCTTACTTATTGTTAGATTCAACTAATTTGATTTAATAATTGCAAGGGATTAAAAATATCTGTTAATAGGTGGCAATATTGAAATACGATGCGATAATGGAGTTAAAATCCATAGCGTGATGTAATAAATAATTGTATTATCAGGCCATTATCATCGGTGATTAATTTTTTTAAATAACTAACAATACAGTATCGCCATAACAGCGTTAATGAAATCTTCTTTATTGAATAATATTTTCCAGGAATTATGTATAAGCTTTATAGAAAGTATAGAAAAAAATTTTAACTTGGACTTTTTTCTGGGGTTGGCCAGTACCCTTAAAAATTTTGAATTTTAGATATTTTTAGATATTTGGAAATGTAGTTTCGAAATTTTAGAATTTTCAGATTTTTGAACATGATAGCACTATGTCTTTGACTAATAGCACATGATCTAGACACACATATCAAGGAAGATGAAGTTCACGATAAGTTCCAATTAAGTTCCATTACAGTTCATTAAGGTGATATTACGAAATTCCTGTGGCAAAGTGATCCAATGATCTTGGATCAAAGTTGGGTGGGGGGAGAGGATAGTTTGGGAATTTATGGCTGAAATTTGAGCTTTCTCTAGGCAAACTTCATTCACGAGAAATGTGATGATAATGATAGAGGCTTAATTAGAGATAGATGTTATTTTGATAAGCTTAGTAATTAAAGCTTATCACACGTACGAACTCTGTCATAAAATTAATCGTTAATCATAAAATAAAATCAATAATGAAAAGGTAACAGAAATATTTTTATAACAACGAATGATATACATGAAAATTTAAAAAAAAAAAAAAGCGAATAGCAACGGCAATTTTGTCGGAAAGGAAATTTATTTTCAGAAATGAAAATTAATTCAACGTGCAGCGTGTATGCACGTTTTATCGACTAGGCTCCGATTGGATGAAAAATTTCCACACGATTGGTTCGATTCACCAACGTTATGTAAGTTTCTATTTATGTGGTAATAGCAGAAAGGTATTGGTAAAGGTCCACGCGTTCACGACAAATGCAATCAACCATTGCATTTCGAACGGAAATAAATTCATCCCATTAAACTGTTATTCTAGTTAGTTGATTCATGCATAAATTCATATTTCATTGATATATAGATTCAATTTACATTTTCGAACACTTGTAATCATTTGGAATATGAGAAACTCAAGGAACCAATAACATTGATTGATTCGTTTAAATACATTAATAAAGTAGAGGTACCATTTATGTAAATTCAAAAAGAATTAATACTATTATATCCTTTAGGTTCATTTAGGACAATATTATTATTAATAGTTCCTAGTTATATAGGTATATTAAATTTAGGACCATTTCCCTAGGGCAGAAACCTGGTACCGATTGGATTTCAAAACCTTGAAATCCAATTTACATATTAAATAGATCGCATTAATTTTCTTTAAATTAATTCCAACATTAATATTTCCAAAACTATGATTTTCTGAATTATATAATTATGCATTTTTCAACAACAAAGCAGCCATCGCGAAAGACAAAAATTTACGTTATTTTCAACTGGAACACCCTTCCTGAAAGGATGTCGACGCGTAGCGTGTATGCACACTGAAAGCACGCGTACGGGAGAAAAATTGCCGGATAGGAAGGATATGTGGTGAAGAGGGATGGAAAGAGGGTGAAGAAGCACACGGGGAAATCGGGGCAAGGTGAACGAGCGAAAACAGTGAGAAAGAGGGAGAAACGACGGTGGATTGTCCGGCGAAATATAAACAAAGAACGCTTTCCGTACGTGTCAGCTGAATGAACAATGGTTATGGCAAAAGTTCTCCAACGAGTGTCACGAGTACGCGTGTGCACTCGCGCGGATTCTAGACGATTTGTCAGGAAAACTTTGGCAAGCTTCTAAACTTGTATTCTCATAGGGAAACTGCGAAAAGCACGTCCCTATCGACAGGAAACGTTTTGGATCGACGTGTTTGGGTAGAGAGTGATTGGTAATCCTTTTGCGATTCTATCTCGTTTGTGCAAACAAGAATTTTCTTCAGAAATTTTTCTTCAATTAAAAAATTAATTAAAACTAACTTTAGATACGTTATTTATCGAAATTTGGAAAAAAAAAAATATTTTCCATTCGACGGGATTTGAACCGATGAATTTTAGTATTTAAATCAGACTTTTCTTCTCACTTTAGAAAGAATATCACTCTTTGCCTTACGTGTAAAAAGAAAAGTATACAACACTGTATACATTCTCGTTCCGCGAGTATTATATATATTTATATTTGCCTACCTTCCATAAACCACGTTACCTTCGCTTGAATGAAAAGCAAATACGTTCACCGTCGTCGACTCGCTAGTAGATACGTTAACATCCCCTAAATTATTGGATATAAGTTTTCCTCCGTCAATTCAAACAGTTTCCAATCGTGTATTCAATTTTTCAGATTGCAGAAAATATTAAAACGTTTCTTTGAATTTGGTAATAGGGGAAATTTAAATAGAACAGTTATCTGATGGCAAGGGTTAAATTTCGGAACTTCTAATTAATTAATTAGTAGAGTATTTATTTATTACGTTATCAGAGGTAAAATGAGATTGTCGAATTCACTTATCTTGACGGATGGTGAATTTCTAACTTTAACCGGTTTGATTTAATGCTGTTAAGTCGGCAACCGAGTATCTCGACACCGGAGCGGCGGCAACTTTCAATTAACTTAAACGCAAATCATTAAAAGGTAAATCTATTGGGATCTGTGAGTACTTCGTCCCCCTACGGATACATCATTAACCGCATGGTAAATGAACTAGATACGCCAGCACCTGTTCCGTAACTATCTACGATACTCCCAATGGATCGTAGGCTTCGTCCAGCGAATCAAATTAAATCATGCTGGGGCTCGATTAAATACTGGTGGGAACACCACTTACGACCCTTTGCGAAATATCCGAAAACGACTGAACTCCGTTTTATCACCCTATTTTACGATCACCATTGTTTCCTGTGAAACGTTCAAGGAATAATTACTCTATATTGAACACACAAATTCGTCCCTTTTTTAATTTGCTCTTTTATGGAGGTGACTAAATAATTTGTTTTTTAAATTTGTAGTCTTTTTATAACCGTGACTTTCATAAGCTTTGCATCAGGGAAATTGACTAATTGAATGTTTCTCGTTAGCTTCGCAAATGAGAAAGAAACTCGGCATAAAGAATCCGTGACATAACGAGAAATGCCGTTCATGCAAATTAATTAAGCATTATAAAACGGGACCACGATTAATGTAGAGTTTCCCTGGTGCCGTAGCAATTGAAACGAATGCAGGGAAAGATATAAAAGAAAGAAAGGAGGGAAAAAAGCGTTCGATTGTGCCGCCTACGTGCACAAGGGGATAACCAGGAAACGAAAGAGGAAAAATAATCTGGGAGAACAATGACTGCTTGTACGTGGAACAAACGAGCAGCCGGCATGCAAACAGAAAAGTCGTCTGACAAATACAGTCGAGCGACCACTTAACCTCCTCCTCGTCGTCTGCTTCGCTTTTACATTCAGCCGAGCCATTAAAATATCATTAAATATTAATAAAGTACACATGATTTGAAACTAGCTACCCGGCATCGCAATTTTAACAGCGATTTTCTTTCGAAATCAGCTGCCATTTAAACAGTACAGGATGTTCTCTCAAGTCTAGGGGGGGATAGATAAATTTTACTAATTATAATTAGTTACTTTTTACGTTTTGTCTTGGAACGTCGTGGTGTCTTTTTACCGCTATACAATTATTATTGTATAAAAATTGTTTTACCTAAAGTATGGATTCTAGTTCTGGTTGCTATGCAACAGAAGGTAGCTTATATTATTAATAACAAGTATAAGACGTTTTCTTGCGTGACAATCGGTAATTATGTCTCGTTCCATTAAAATTTCGAGAACACAGGGAATACTTTAGTATCGATGAAGCCCGTCGGCTACTTCCGCTTTAACGATCCGCTCGAACTCGCGCTAATTAGTCGAGATTCGCATCGCATGCTCTGGCATTCGAGGACCCTTAAAGGAGCGATCGCTTGTCAACAACTGTTCTCGAAACTGTGGAACGCTTGTAATCAAACCTTTTACTGAATTACCCTGTCGACCATCCTG